ATCAATTACGTTTCTATTTGATTTTAATATTTTTTTCCCTCAGTGTAGGAGATGCTCCAAAACTTTTGACCAAGCATACCCTCAAAGGACGAAGGAAGCAGGGTTACCATAAAAAGTTAGCTTAAACTCAGACTCCATTTTTGCACTGATGGAGTGAGCTGAATCTAGAGATGGGCGCGTGAGTGATTTTGGCTCAAGTTCACGCACGCTCACGTTGATGGTTTTACAAATCACGCACACTCACGTTCTGTTATATTTTTTTCAAACACGTTCACGCACGCTGACGATGCCTAGGTTTTTAATCACGCACGCGCGTTTATTCACGGATTTTTTTTTTCCTAATTGAAACTATATATTAATAGCATTTCATATAAAAAGTGTTGTTACAAAAGCTTGGCCAAACACCTTGCATGAGATGAACGAACTAGTTATTTTTATTTACAAATTTCAGATATATGTACATATGTAGAAATATATGTATTAGGAGTATAGAAAGGGCAAATTGACATTAGCTCATATTTTGGGTACGGTTTAGTACGTTGCCGATCTATTTCGAGGTATTGCGTCCAAAGAGGTGACCCGATCCAAAAAAAATTTACACACACTTGTAGCCAAGGGTCTACACATTATTTAAACACCCATTTTTGTAATTTTTGGTCACTAATTTATTTACAAATTGGGTTAGAAATATGCCCTTTTTTGTAAAATTCGGAAATTAGCATACATTTATCACTCCTATTCTCCTTAAAGCAGCCACTTCACCAATATATTTTTCACTTCACTTTACACTTTACTCGATGAGTTATAACTTTCTTTATGACTTTAATATTAACCATTTAATCACAATTTATTAAATAAAAACACCTTCTAAATCATGCGTCTGACTTTAGTTGCATATGCAAATTAAATGGCGGAGTTCACCTGTCAAACTCCAAAATACGCAAAAGAATGAGAGACAAAATAAAATAGGATATAACCCAGTAAGCCTTAAAAATATACATAGGTGCTCTCTGCAAAAGGTGTTCAGGTCCTTCTCTTCGCAAAACAGAAAGGAGAATTCTACTGCCTGAGGGTTATAATCCCTAAGGGAAGGGGGGCTTTCTTTGCCAACACAGAAAGGACAATTCTACTGCCTGAGGGTTATAATCCCTAAGTGCGACCGAATGCCGCCTACGCAGAAAGGTGTTCTCTGCGAAGGGTGTTCAGCCCCCATCTTTCGGCTGATAACCACCTTGGGATAACTTCTTTTATTTAAAAACCCCACAGATTCTGTTAGTTGGATTATATTCCACTTCAAACTGCTCAATTTCTCTCGGTAAATGCTGTTTTTCGCCCATTTTCAAACGGTTCCCTAGGGGTCTGTAGGAGGCCCCGAAGGGGGGGTGCGACTTTTCGTAAAGTGGGGGCTGTCCCCTTTCGAATGGGGGGAGTTTAGGGGGCCACGCCCCTTCCCTTCCGCCCCCACCCCAAAAACGACCTGCAAATAACTAAACATTTCCCCATATTTTTGTTTAAAAATAATATTTGGCGAGGTTTGTCACCAACGTGTACGTGTCGTGTACGTCTTTCTTCTAGAATTCTGCCTGACACAGAAACAACTTCTCCACTATTTGCTGAGCTAGCTATGTTTAAAATTTGGCTTGAAAGGCTAGAAGAAAATTTGTAGCTTTGTTCCAAAGTCATCGTATAACTTTTGTTTTCTGTTTTTTTTTTTAATAAATCTGTATTTCCGCGTTAATGTCTTTAAAAACCATTTCTGCAGATTCATCTGAATTCGTCAAAAGTATACACAGTAGTAGTTTACGATTTTATTTTGGTTGAAAATCACATGCATACATATGTCTGTGAAAATTACGTGATTGACGGAAAATTTAACTCACGCTAGCAAAACTCTCAGTCACGCACGAGTACGGAAGTTACGTGATTTTTCTCTGAAAGCCGCTCACGCTCACGCGCGAAAAAGCGTGACGCGGCGTGTCATGTAGAAAATCACGCGTTTTGCCTACCTCTAGCTCAAACTCCAGAACTTATACTTGAAAATCAAGTAGAAGCTAAGGCTCACATTTCATGGATGAAGTCCAGGGTTAGAACTTTACTAAGATCGTAGTAGATTTTCTACGTGTTTCGAGAAAATTTGAAATTTTCTACGCTACTCCGCGTTTCTTTCGAAAGTTACAAAGCGCGCATAATACCGCAATAAAATTCAAGAAATATGTAGGTTATTTTCTTTTTAAAAAAATACAAACACAATTCTGTCGAATTCACTGACAGGGCAATAGCGGGACAAGATGGGCGGCACCTTTGCTCCCTACATCGTGCCTTATTACGTTTTCTTTTCTAGCCACAAAATTTTGCCTTCCCATTGCCCACTTCGCACAAACAGTAAGAAGGGAGCAACGAGAATGCAACATTTTTTGTAGAAAAGAAAACGCCAATATTGGTATTTTTTCTGAAAAATAACAATTTTAATAACAGTTGATATGTAATTTCTAAGATAATTTTCGCCACTCGTTCGTTAAAATATGCAACACTTGCTTCAAATAGTAGCGTATGACTCCGTCATTAAAACTTCCTTTGGTTCCTTACTTTGGTTGTAGAGAGATTGTTGTCAAATTGTAAAGCCTAAGGTGTAATGGGTAAAGTTACAGGGACACAATTAGAAAATAGCTTAACGCATTTTTCGTAGAACAAAAAAGGATCGACAGCCATTGTTGCATACTTAACTAAAAAAAAATTTCTCTTTGGGTTATTAGGTTCTTCCATCCAACGAGCGACGGAGTTTTATTTTCAGTTGCGATTTTTCACGTCATTTAGTCCAATTTGATGAGGCCCATTGCTTTTGCTGACGTCTACGGAATATCAATTTTTTGGGAACGACTCCAAAATTACTTGCGGTATTTTTACTGACCCTCGACATTTTGTTGTTGGAGAATTATCAACACTCGCCATGCATCAACCTGCCAAAACCTTATCCAGCTCTGAGGGGGCTGCATTAATAGTTGGCTAACGCGTTTATAATTAAAGATGTCAGGGATGCTTCAAAGTCATACAAATCAACTTTCATCAATCCAAACTGAAACTAACCTTATCACAAACACTGGTTTTGCCGCAGAAAATTTAAATCAACTCAACTTTTTGCGCTCTTGCACTCTCTCCCCCTCGCTCTGTTTCGCTATCTCTGCGTAAGTAAAAACGACTATTAACCTGAGGCAAATCTCTTCCTTAAATTATTGCCACTTGACAGCTGACAAATAAACAATGCCTGCACAAATGCCTATACATAAATCATAAATTTCGCTCAAGTCGCGCTGTTTATTGCTCTCTGCTGTAGTTCTATGTATGTATGTATATGTTACTATGTACATACAAACAGTGACTTAAACAATTGTGAGGCGGAGATAGAGGGTAAGAGAAGCTATTGGAGAACATCCGCTAACAAACGTTTCTTGGTCGGGTGGAAAATGATCTCGTGTGGATTTCTTTTCTTTGACATTCACAATGTGGTTGTTCACACTTTCCTGGTGATCAGGTTTTTTGGTTATGTGGTTATATTTTTTATTCAGTTTATAACAATAAAATACACTACAGAATAATAATGTTTAACCAGATAACCTGATAACCAGGCAAGTGTGAACAACCGCGATGTTTTTCAACCATTTTTTTTTACAAACCCATATAGTACATACTTACATAAATAAAAGTTTCAAACTTTATTCAAAGTTTAGGAAAATTTCAAAAATTTGCATCAGAATTTGACAGCTTTTATATGAATTTTTGGAAGATTTTTGTGTATGCCCATACAACATTAGTCTAATGAAGTGATCAAAAATCGCGTAGATTAAATAATTTTTTTTTCTTGTAGATGTTTGCAATTTTTTCCACATATTTAAGCATGAATTTCGCATGAAATAAAATGCAGGAGATCGTTCGCAACGAATTTCAAAAAATCAACACTAGTTTTTGTAAATGGCGTAATGGTATAAAAAAATCGGATTAAAATGTTTGAAATTTGATAAAAATGCGTTGAACTTTCCTAAATTTTGCATAAAGTTTGAAACTTCCATATATATGGTTTTGTTAAAGCTTGGGAAATATTTTTATAGAAGAATAACAAAATAATTAACTTGAAAAACATTATTAATACATATTTGTTTGAGTCACTGTATGTATTGTAAAATGTATGTGTAAAAGCAAATATCCACGACATCAATCGAAATCCCCTTAAGCAATCAATAAAATGACAAACAGAAATGAAAATAAATCTTAGAATATCTCCAACGTAACTTCGCAAGTCCTACCACGCTTTTTTGCTATAAAATCAGTATTTGCTATTGCATCGCCCTACCATCTCGAACATATTTGCGATTTTGTTGTTTTCGTTGCTATTTCGTCAATATTAAATAAAGCCATCACAAATTTTATAGAGTAAGTAACGGTAAGCATGGCGCTTGCAATAATAAATAATTTTATTTCATTATTATAATAACAAATGAATGTGGCATGGCAGCGGATGAAGGATATGAAAAAACTAATAAAGCAATAACGAAGGGATAAACAAATAAGCAGCATAAAAAATCCAATAAAGTTATACAAAATGACTTAAAAACATCAAATGCGTTCATGGTAAAGTGTAGAAGAAAGGTAAGCAAAAACTTATGGCATACTCGTATCTGGCCAGCAATAAATATTCACCATCACTTATTTATTTCTTCACGTAGTGTGGTGCTCTATTTGCAACACTTACCTCATTATCCTTGTCGGCATCCTTAATGTGCTGTGCAATAAAACGCACCGCACGTAATGCCTGCAGCACTTCAGGTGTCAAATTGCGCGGTATCACATTGTCCGAATCTATCAAATAAAGAAAAAGAAAAAAAAATAGCGTTTGCGTTATATAAAGTACAATAAATGATTATTTGAAACACAAGTACATGCTAACATACATACATAAGTATGAATTAAAGTTTATTTTCAAAATGAAATTTTAGCAAACGGAGCGATGAGTAGCCTTACGATTAATGGGGATTGCAATTATATAAACGGATTTAACCCGCATGACTCTGACCCAATTACGGTTCAGCTACATATCGAGACTCGACCCTTAAATCCCCAATGAGTGTTGAACCCACGATTGGCCCTACATAGTGCTCAAATCTGCTTCTCGACGAAATGCTGATGGTAATGAGGAGAGATCGGTCCTTAGACGGTAGAAAGGCTTAGTATCGATTAACGGTCTGCTTCTTCTCAACAATTTTTACAGCACCTCTTGCTATTAAGGGCGAATATTTCATTTTCTAATGTTAGGTGTCTAAGCAAAACGCCCTCCTGCTATTAAAAGGTGCAATCCCGTATTCCTCGGACTCGGACTAGTAAAACTGTCAAAAAATAAGAATTCGCTCAGAGCGAGAGAGTAACATTGAAAAGTATGGGATCGCTTTCTAGTAAAAAATGGTAACTTCTGTCAACTTCAACATAACCTCCAAATTTTGGTTGTACATTTTTGCTTATTTTGTATGTAAACACACTCAGCTCACACATGTAAATAACCAAAAATACTTTCAAATTCATTAGAATCCACTTAAACAAGTAATTAAATACTTTTCAACATGAATTAGCAGATTGAACTTTTCTTTTGTTTACAATTTGGTTGCCAAACACACTACAGCTGATCGTTTGACACATTTACCAGCAAAAAATTCTCGGACTAAAACTGATAACTTCTGACAGAGAGAGAGAACTGTATTTACTCTCTTTTTTGTCCTCTCAATAGTCAGAGAACCAAGTACGGGATCGATTTCCTGTAAAATCTGACTATTTCTGACTAGTCCGGACTCGTACGGGATCGCAACTAAAGATATTTGACAAATTGTGCAACATAAACACACATTTATTTTTTCGGTCAAATCTGCATATGACACGGCAAGGAATAACGCGAAATGGAACAGCACCGAAACCAGATGGCACCCTACAGGTTTATTCTGCACGTTACCGATAATATTGTAACTGGAAAATTTTATTACCAAAAAATGCAATGATTAGAAAAGTGCTTTTCAGCAAAAGCTCGAGCAAATTTTTGTTATAATTGGTTAAAAAAAAAACCTGCGGTAAAGTCTCTCTTGCCCATAGATTATCATGTGCTAAAAAATATGTAGTTTTTCGCATTTTCTGACAAACGTGTAATTTTGAGTTGTGCCCCTTTAAAGACGGTATGCAAATACATACATACATACCACAAAAATTATGACTTAGATGCTCACCAATCGATTGTTGCACGCCATTATCATAGGGTCCCTCTTGGCTGTCCTTGAACTCGCTGGGAAAGTCACTAATACTATCGCTGCTTGCATTTCGATTTCAATTAAGCAAAAAATTATCAACAAAGAAAACAACAATACAGTTGAAGTTTCGATACGAAATGTTGATAAAATATTCGCTAAACATATTGTGTTTTATAAAACTACTAGCTAATACCTTGCGTACATACGTTGCCACTTGTAGCTATCACAAACATTTACTTAACTCTAACTTTAAATGGCAACTTTGGTAAACAAAAAAAAATTTAACTATTTTACAAACATGTTTATGTTATGGTATTCGCTATCTTTCCAAAGAATAAAACTCACCGCACATCAATTTCATTGGTGTAGCCATTGCTGGGCGTCGAATCATCATAATCGGGCAATGTATATTGAGTGCGACGCATCATCATCAATTTCGGCATAAAATGTAAAAATAGTTTACGTACCAGTGGCGACATATTATGAGTTGACGGTGATCTAAAGCAATGTGGGTATAATGAAACGAGAAAATGTGAAATTTCATAGTTGAAAACATTTACAAGCGTAATTATTTTTTCTTCACACTTCCTTTCACCATCCACTGTTTTAAGTTAAAAAACAGAAATAAAACTTTCTTTTTTTTTTGTATAATCTTACCTCCCACAATTTGAAATTCCCCTCACCATAAATATTTTACTCACCTAAAGTGTAAATTTAATACGCATACCGTTGTCCATACGGACAACGAGACCAGGATCATTGTAAATAGTAGATATTTGCCTAGCAACGGTACTGCCAGTGATGTTGGCGGAATAATTTCGGCCAACAGCAAGAAGAACACAGTCAACGAGACAAGAATTGAAATACATAACGTAACCTGCCAACGAAATTCAAGTGTAGAGATTTCTTCGTTCGACTTACAAATGTCTGTGTTTGTGTATTCATTCCAAATTTATTTCAATAGTGTATGTGTAGTGTAATAAATATATTTGCTTTTGGATAGCTTTTAGCTGGCATAACTATATTTTTATTATCTACCGAAAGACAAGGAAATGCACCTAACAAACAAGCAAACAATCCAATAAAAACACAAACATACACACACATACATATGAATCTTTCAATCAATTTAACGAATTTCTAAAGAAACAATTAAAGAAAATTTATTTAAATTCATTACCATTTTCTTGTTCACATTCTCGAGGATTCTCGAAGTCTTGCAAAACATTTGCACGGTGCAGGAATTGTACGGTCAGCATCGGTTTTTTTACGGAAAAGCTTTGCAATACTTGTACCGTCCAAGGGCTATGCAAGACTGCAACAATCCCCCTGTTCTATTAGTATTTGGTAGCAACCAAAGACAAAGAAAAAACACACTCCAATTAATTTGAGAGGTAACATTATAACTTTAAAAATTTCTAACTTCAAGCCATGGTTCGGTTTATGTACTTTTTAACCGACTTATAAAAAGGAGGAGGCTATCAATTCATCGGAATTTTTTTTTTTTAATGTATGTTACCGCATAACTTTGGACCACGTTAACCACGTTGCTTTAATTGAAGGTGGTACCTCGGAGGTGGTTCCATACTAATTCGATCACTGGATCATGAAGAAATTAACGATACTCTTAAATTTGCATATGAAAACTGAAGTTGGTTTTTTTATGCTTAAAAATTACTTGCTTTAAATTTATTATTATTTTCAGATCGTTCATCACTAAAATTAATGGAACAATTTTTCATTTTCTGTGCATAAAAAGTTCGCATCTTAAGTCTTTCGTTGAAATTCAAACTAATGGAACGCTATGATAAAATTTTTTCTTATGTTCGCATTGTTCTGCTGTTGGGAACGTTCCACAGCGTTTTATTCTTATATATGTAATTATCATTTATACTTACAAAATGAAGACATCCACAAAAATTTCTAAATTATGTAATAATTTTTACAAGGTTTTGACAATATTAAAAAAAAGCGCGACAAAATAACTCAGTGAGTTTTGGTCCGATCAAAGCAGGTAGTATTTCGTTTGACTCGTACTTTAGTTGCTTTTCACTGAATTTATTTATTTATTTATTTCAATCTAGAAAATGTTATGCCGAATTTCCACTAGGCATTGAAGTGACCAAAAATGTATGCCATTTAAAAAATGCCATGTGGAATTGAACATAATGACTAAATTTTCACAAAAATTTGACAAATTAAAAAAAAATTTCAACTTTTTACTCTTACTTTTTAGAAGCCAATTTAATTTTAGTATATTAATGTGCACGTTTGAAGGGCAAAAAATTACCGTTGATTTTTGATATTTTTTTTGCTGGGGCATTTCGCACTTTCTTACACTCGGCTCACTTTAATTAATAAATGAATAAATAATTGCATTATTAAATATTATTAAATATATTAATATTATATTATATATGAATATAAGTAAAATAAAAAACGGCAACCTGATTTAAAATTAAATAGTCAAAATTCCCCGCGAAAGGGAGCCATTCTACGATTCCCCGCAACGAGAAAAATTCCCGAATGTTGGCATCGCTGATATGTAGTAAAGAGCCACGCACAATAGACCACCGTGGAGGTTGCAGTGCTCATAGTAATAATAATATAAGAAGATAACCCTGTTTTTATGGTGCTTTAATACATTGAGCAGTTTTATATTTTTTTTATACATTCTAATTTTTGAATTATTGGGCGGTGTTTTTTTTTTGCTAACAACGCTTTAAACTTTCACTTAGATATTTCAAATTTTAAATAAATCATACAAAATACTCTTATATGTATCTTTTTAAAACAGTTGATGCCTATTTTATTAAATATAAAACAGTATTTCTTTTTAATTTTGAAAATAAATAATACAAAATACATCACACACATACCAGACGTTTGCAACTCATAAGGCTCTGTTTGGGGATTTCCCTGAAACTTACATTTTTATTTACACAAATTGTTTTTTATTTTTTTATTACTATAAATTAAATAATTTTAAATTAATACAAATAAATTTAATTCTCATCTGTTTAACTGCCTGCGAAATTAATGCTGTAGAAAACCTTTATGAAAGTTGCGCCCTAAAAAACGAGCGCTTGAAAGTAAAAACTCTTAAAAGTAGGAATAACACTTATATCATTTAAAACGGGGAGATACTTTTTTGATCATTTAAAAACTGCTTCTGTTCTTTGGGTCACCCGGCTTTAGCCACGATCTTTCGTATTGGCAAAGGTAGAAGTACGTAGCAGGTGCAGGGCTCTGGAGAAGCTGTTGTCGATCCTCGCAGCGAAAACCATTAAATTTCCAAGAATAAATTATAAACAACTATTCACGTAAATCTTTTTTTTTTCACTGGAGTGTCGCACTATGGGGCCTTTTAACTTTTTTCGTTGCAAAAATCATAACTCTCGAACTAATAAAGATGTTTAAAAATTTAAATGGCATCTGAAAGAAAAGCGACAGGGTGCTTTAGAATGCATGTCAAACTTGAGAAATTTTTGAAAAACACAAAACCGAAAATTTTGTTCACTTTTATTTTATATTGAATTTTTGAAGTATTTTTGGGATTTATCTTATCTTCGAAACTACAAAGTCCTGTTAAACAACATCCTGACGTCAGAGAGAAAAGCCAAAATGCAATTTTAGTATACTTATGGGTTTTGTTAGCAATTCAACAAATAAAAAATTATAATGAATTTAAGATACAGTTGTAGAAGTATTCTAGATGAAAACCCGGTTTCTCATTTAACCAAACTACGGTTTATTCGATATTCAAAAAATCACAATTACGAAAAAATCGGATAAAAGAGGTTTGGAAAAGCCGAGTTAATGACCCTAACGTACCCCCCTAATGTCAGTAAATTAAAGCTCTCCCAAAATCATTAAACCGATACCGGTTCGACGAAAACCAATTTCTTTTTTACCTTCCTTTTATTAGCTCGGGATGTAACTATGTAATATTGATGCGGCTAAAAGATGCAGCGATTTCTATTCTCAAGTTACATACCTGATGACAGTACGAATGGCAATTATAATAGGGAGGTTTTAGTTTTTTAAACTATAATTTTATTATGAAATATGACTAGGAAAGAATGTTACTCATACGCCATGTGTGACTATTGATGTAATTATGAAAAAGAAATTATTACGCATTTTCACTTGACCATTTACAACTTTATTTGTAAATCCATTTTATGTCAAGAATTTACAAAAAATCTTTTATTTTTTAATTTTTTCCCTGTTGAAATTTGGATCCTTTTCATTCACAAACTTAAAATGAAAATATCTTGCGAAAATCAACAAAATAATGATTTTGATATTATGTTCAGGACGTATAAATGTTGGGAAAGCATATGTAGAGGGCCCAAAAAACTAATCATATCATCCGATTTTGTTTTTAAGCGATTTCACAAATGGGGTTTTGCGGGGCGTAAATAATTTTTTAAGAAAAACTGACTATTTCATCGCTTTGAACGTTAAATTTTGCTTAAGAAACCTGATTGTTTTTGTGCAAAAAATATGACTTCAGTTAACGAAAAGCCCTTTTACATGAAATTTCGAAACTGGTGAAAAGCGGCGGCAGCGCCAGTCTTTCAAACAGGCAGAAATAACACCTTTTCGGAGAGAAAGAAATTTTGTAGTTTATATTTAAAACTAACGAACCATTCATTAAAATTAAAGAAAATAACAATTGCTCAAATTTTTTACATACAAATACATAAATCTCAAACATGTCAAAAAAGAACAAAAAGTAAAAATTGTTCCCAGTGTGGAAAAATTTTCAAATTTCAGTGGTTCTATCTCCTAAACTACTAATCTGTTTTTAATAAAAGTTATGTTTTCGTAATTTCTGGGAAATTCTCCATTAGATTTGTATATTAGCATTATCGAACGCTTCCATAAAATTTGTTTATTTTTACATCGTTTTTTCGGTAGTGGCCCCATAGTGCGTGTTGGATTTTGAAAATAAGTTGATATGAACAAACCAGGTCATATGATGTATACCCTTTCTCCTCTACAGGCTTTCAAAAATATTTAGAAAAAAATATTAAACAGTCAGGTGGGTATACTGGTACTCGAGCGCATCCGAAATTTATAGTATGTATGTATATTATGGTGGCCCAAAAATGCATGTGAAAAAAGTATGTCTTAATTTTAATACTCTCACCCTCTAGGATTGTTCTATGCCGGAAAAATATACCCCTATTTTTTTATTTTGAAATCAAAAAATATTTAGAGGTCGCTCAAAGCGCTCAAACTTTTCCATGTATTTTGTATGAAAAAAAAACAACTTTTCGTAGAAATGGTATAGAATTTATTTCGATGTAGAGCAATTCTAGGGGGTGAGAGCATTAAAATTCCGACTTTAATAATTTTGGGCCGCCCTAATGTATATGCAAAAACGACGGTGGTAATCTGCAGTTTTGCATCATGGGGTGACATAGTCGTACACCTTCGTGCCTTCCTCGTTACAAGGTGCGCCGCCTCATATTGATATAAATTCGCTTTCCTTCAATAGTTTTTAGCTCTTAACTAACAATGAGACCAAATCTCTGAAGTGTACCAACACTTTTTCTATAACTTCGAAAATAATTCGAATTTCAAAGTAAAGTTAAAGTAGTATTTTTTTCGAAAAAATTACGTTACACTTTAGGTAGTTTGTCTCAATCCTACACAGAAAAAAAATTTGATACACATTTCAATACAATATTTCCAAGTTCAGTGAAAAAAAAAAACCAAAAAAAAAAAATGCAAGTGTACATACAACAATTTACAACCAACATTCAATACCGACAATTTACAAAACGAAAACAACAAATAAATAAATTCTCAAGCAACGCAATTTGATATAAATTACATATTTCACTTCTCTTCGGTTTTCAGTTGTATTACAGCTCCAACTTCAATTCAATAAAAAAAATCAGTTTCTACCCAAAAATAATTACATACAACTAAAAAAAACAGTTTTTTAACGAAAATACAAACATACATTTTCCAACTGTCAAAATGTTTGCAAATGTCAAAATTCTACAATCAAAACGGCGGCGCTACTGCGAGCAATCGAGCCTCGATCTCAGTTTACTTGTTTGAATATTTGTGGTTGTTTTGTGCGAATTTGTCGCTTTTTTTTTTGTTTGTGTGCTTGTTTGGTGTTTGTGTTGCTCTGTGTATGTATGTATGTGCTTGTTTGTGTTCGGGCGAGTGACATTGCGGAAATGATTTTTGAAATGATGAGTGTTCGATTTAATTTGTGCTAATTTTTAGTAACTTAATTTTTATTATTTGATATTATTTTACTCTATTTTTGACTTTCGACGAAATTACGTTATGAGATTTCATTACTTTTTTAAGCATAGCGCGTACTTCCTCTAGAAATACTGGGAGTTTTTTGTACCTAAAGTACGCCTTTGCTTAAATTAACTGCTGATTGCGATTGATACAAAAATTATGCGGCGTTAATAGGTGATAGGTATGTTAATTATGTTAAAAGTTTTGAAAATTATTTAAAAGCTAATAAAAGTTAGTTTAGAAAATAAATCTATTCAAATTAGAAAAATTGTATTTATTTAGTCAGTTAGAAAATGTTATAAAAATGTTTACAAAAATAATTTTGTTATTTCAAATACTTTGCGTATTCGTTTTCTCTATCATATTAATTCAAGATGCTTTTTGTAGAATAGTATTCGGTTAAGGGAACTTGTCTAGGAAGGTATTATTTTTTTTTTTTTAATTTGCTTTCGCTCTTGTCATATCGTAACATACGAGGTGCCATAACCATAATGCCTTAGCCATAATAATAATAATAGATAGGCGCTTACACATATGTTAGTGTTTGGCCGAGCTTCTCCACCGCCTCAGTCATAACATAGCAAAATACTTCAGAGCTGCTTATGGTTATGGAGCTGATTTACGGTTATAGTTATGCCTGTGGCGTTATATTATGACACCAATAATCGTTTACAGAGCTGCGCGTACGATTTATCGGAACATTTAAAATTTTAATTAATAAAATTTAAAAAAAAATTGAATGAAATTACGATAATTTAATAAGAATGGTGGTACTCACGAAACTAGTCCACAAACTTGTTGCTTAGTCATTTGAATTTCGAAAATCTTGGCAAAAACCGATTACCACTGGCAATTCAATCAAGATAGTTTTCGATTATTTTCTAAAAAAAGGAGTTTTTTTTTAATAGAGGTGTTTAATCATTCCACTACAGCAGTTACCAAGTTTTGACTAACTGCTAGCATCCAGCTTAGTTGGGTGGACAAGAATATGTCACAAGGTCGCGTCGTCTCACCGTTTCTGTGGATGGTAAACGACTTGCTAGAGGAGCTAGAGAGGAAAGGATGCCGGGTGATTGCCCAGCCGGATGACATTACACTTTTTATGGGTAAATTTCTAGTTACCCTTTATGATCTTATCTAAAATTACTTATGCTAAAATGCGTAAGCTAAATTTTTTTAGCAGCTGTCGAAATTTGCTTGCACTTAAATCAATTTGGATTACATTTCATCTCCGGCAGCGTAACCATAACTTTGTTACAAAGACACTCGCGCCGATTCGCAAAGACTTCGCAAAAAGGCAAATCCTTGAGAGAATCTACGGATAGAAATTTCGACATTTTTTGCTCAAGGCGAATAGAGCTTTGAACATTCTTTTCGCAAATTAGTTTCAAAAACATTCGTATTCTTTTCAGGAAGTTACCCGCAGCTTTTGGCAAATGTGTCACAAAGCAGCATTAGCAATCTGAAAATAAATAATTTCGGTGGAGAATTGGGGAATACTGACCTAATGTGTAGTGTTACGAGGTATGTAATAATACACGTTTTTATTAAGACTTATTGGGTTAAATCTATGAAAGTAATTGCAGCTATCTGTTGCTACCTAATACATCAAGGGAAAATCATGCGGAGTTATTGGCAACAATTTTCTTGTTATGCATTTCAGGCAACATGGTTTTTTTTTTCAAAAATATACATATTTAGAGAGGCTATTCTGGTCTCTTAACTTCACATATGCCTACCTTATGAAACTTGATCATTTATATTCAATTATGCAATCAATGCGTTTCGTGAATACCCTTAATGCAAAAAAAATCTATTTATGCTATTAATATTTAGTTCTATATTCACCTACGTATGTACTTATTTGTGCTGCTAACTTTCTTCCAATTTTTTCACGATTTAATTTAAGAGTGCAATGATAGTGTGATTAGAAAGTATTTGAAGAGTATAAGTGTATTAGAATTAGTTGCAAAGAGATCGCATGCATTAGAAAGCGTTAAAAGGAAACAGAATATGTACACTATAAGTATATACAGAGATAGTTCTACATAAATCAGAAAAAAATCTTTCTACACAAAATACATTTGGGCATGCAAAATTTACTTATTCTATTTATTTTAATCATGCAAACGAAATTCCACAAGTGTGTCGCAAGTACACTTACATACATATAAATGTAAAAAAAAAACAAATATTTATTTTATACAAAGACTAATTTGAATTTGGATTTGATACCTTTTCGCCAGAATCGCTGGGTAAATAAAATACCAACACCGTGAGAAATGTCAATGCTACACATGGTACAATTAAATTAACGGTGTAGAAAAGTGTTTTGCGACGCATGGTAAGCTTAAATGTAATATCTGTGAAGAAATGTTGTAAAAGAGATTTCGAAAATTAAAACAAAAAGTTAGTTAATTTTTTCTTCAATCAACATTTTTATAAATTACAGTTTAATTATAAAGAAATCTTTAGTATTCATCTAAGGTGAGTTGGCCAACTTTCGATTTCTAACACAAACATATATTAATATATACATTTATTATATACAGTTTTTTATTTCTTTCACATACACACATGTATAAAAATTTTGCATTACCAGAAAATGGTTCCAAAGTGTCTGGATAATATTCCTCATTCTTAGTTGCAGGAACTTCGAGTATGTCCCATTCGACGGATAAGTAAAATTCACTTAAATCAATTCCAATTTGCACGAGATTACTGCCAGGAACCTAATTACAAAAACATAAGCAGAGCATTAAATAACTGGATAGCGAAATTTTTCAGTTTTCGACAACATGGAAAATGAAAAAGTTTTGATTGTGAAGTAAACAAATGCATAAACCAGTTGTTTCAAACCCATAGGGCAATTCATCTAAATGCTTAAATACCTCGTAACCACGTAAACCATGTAAACTTACTTAATTTTGTGTGGGAAACGGATTTATTTACGAGGCTTACGCGGTTGCGAGGCATTTAGTAGTGATGTGCTGAATTGTCGGTACCCAATACTCGGTATCCAATACTTGAAGAAAATTTAGGTACCCAATACTTTCTTTTCGGTGCCCAATACCGATTCGACACATTAAACCTTCCTCATTACATATAAACTTCTTGTCAGCTGATTAAATTTAGTCACATTTTTTATAAAAGTCTAGCACACTACATAACCAGCACCACATTAATCCACATTTCAAACTTTTTACAAAAATTTAAAAAAAATCAACAAACTTTAACAGTTACACCTAAAAATTCTAAACTTTTCATTAAAAATTGTTATGCAGTGTTATAGCTCATTATATTTTAGTAGAATAAACTGCAATAATTTTTTTTTGCTGACGGTTCTAGGCATTTTCTTCCATATAAATGTAATTGGCGATCATACTTTATATGGGAGAAAACCGTCAGCCAAAAAAATTATAAAAATTCAACGCAGTTTTCTAGCTGCTTGAAATTTGCACTTTAACCAACTAAAATTTAATGGGCTATAAAACTGCATAAAAAGTTTAAATGTTGTGGGTGTAATTGTTAAAGCTTGTTTAATTTTAATAAATTTTGTACGAAGTTTGAGATGTGGATTTATGTGGTGCTGGTTATGTAATGTGCTAAGCTTTTTTAAAAAAATTATAAACAATTAATAGAGACAAGAAAAATAGCCAAAACTGGTAAAAATGTCACTTAACTTAATCAACCGACCGCAAGGTTATACGTTTGAAGTTTGCAGAAAAAATTCATATTCATTGCTATTTATTTTATACATATGACATCGCATGAAATAAAAAAAGGTGCAGATAAAACGATGCTTCCTCAAAAGATTAATAATGTGTATGTCAGTATTTGAGCCTTCTTGCACTTATTGCTACAGTCTTACCAACTGCAACAGTTATTGTGGCAACATTGTTAATTCGTAATATTATTATTTAAGATTTGCATTATGGTTGCCGCAGAGGCAGATAATAATCTAGTAACGAGAGCGTTCAGATCCAAGTAATGTGAGAAATAGACTTCTTTAACCATAGATTAATGACTTCAACGATCACTCAACAGATTTTATTCCATATTTGTGGGTACTGCGGACTCTTATTAGAAATTCTAATATTTCGGTACCGAGTATCGAAAGTATTGGATACTTTTTAAGTCGGTACCGAGTATCGATCAATACTTACAAGTACCGACTCAGCACATCACTAGCATTTAGGTGAATGTCCTGTACATAAAAAGCCACATTTAATTACGGCGAGCAACGATTTCGGGGTCATTGTCTTTCGGCGGAATGATTCCAGCTCCAGTTGAAAGACCTATACCCATATGGTAAACCTCGAGATCTTTTTGCATTCTCAGGTAAAATTTTTTTTTTGTGCCACATTAAGAGTGTTTTTAGAATAAGTGAAATTAGAGGATTATAATGCATATCGGAGCGTAATAAGTAGTTTGACCACTTCTTTGTAAAGTCTGAATAGAATGGTCGCTAAAGGGTTAAAATGTTCTAGAAAAATTTGTCTACAAAATCTTTATGCAAAGAACGTAAAAGTCCACAGAAAATTAAAAGTAAGTGTAAAAACAAATATTTTTAAAGCAAACTTTCTAAATATGAACGTAATCGGACCATAAATACCGGTCTACCAAATATATCGACTCGTGCGCCACCTATCGGATTGACTCATCTTTCTTATTGCACTGTCATCGGGTTCTGAGCCAACTGTGAAGTTTCAAGTCTCTAGGTCATCGGGAAGTGGGTCAAAATTTATTGCAAAATTTGCCCTAACAAAGTTGTGTTGAAAAAAATAATAGTGGGACGGCAGAATGATGAAAGCTATTTTTTAGATGATCTGTTTTACAATGCGAAGAGTTGTGATAAAATGTTGTAATTAAGAATATAAAAAACCGGAAAGTAAAAAGGAAATCGACACTTTTGTTTCCATTTGCCATTTTATGAGCCATTTGCCTATGTGCGCCAAAAACCAGCTGTTCAAAAAAATTTGAATGCTTAAGTTCAAAAGCCCTAACATTTTAAGGTAGTAAAAATATCTCCATAGTTAGATGTTTTCAAGTTATCTGACTATTTTTCAATGTAAAATGACTAAAAGTACGGTACCCTATTTTGCAATCGGGAAGATATCGATAAGCGAGAAGTGGTAATAATGCCAATAAATCAAGACAAAATGTAGAAAAAACCTCAGAAAAAATAGTTGGTTACACAATTCTCATTATTCTTCATTATGGTCATGTTTTCCGTAGTTTAGTACTTGTCTTGTCCATATGATCACCGT